ATTCTTTACAAGCACTCTGTGCACTGTTACGCATATGAATTTTTGTCCTTCATATTAGATGAAAATAATCTGATACTAGCAAAGAAATGGAAGTAGTAAGCCTTACTTTCTAGAAGGTATACCTCATGAAAAATACCAGACTTTGAAAAGTTTAAGCAGTAGGAGAAGTTTCATAGTAGTTCTGTGTAACTCAGCTTCAGAGCATCTATCTCACGGTGCCTTAGCTACTATGGCTAATGCCCTTGGGAATACAAGAATTTCACTGAAGTGTTTTTGAATTTATATTTCTAGCTTCTTGTTGGTTAAAAATCGTCTTGCATATAAGGACTGGAGTGAATACTGATAAGTGATATGGCAGTTCTTTAAAATACTGCTCAGAGTTAGGACTACAGCAGTAGGAATATGAGCAAAAAAATGCAGTTATTTTCTGTTCCAGCTACTGTATGTGTCTATTTAATTCTCCTGGAAGACGTAGTGGGTGGGATATGTGATGTGGTTCCTCCTCGTACGTGGACGTTGCACTGGAAATTCTCATTCAGAAACCATTATTGCTGCAGGTGTTTTAGCGATGGCCAAGTATGTGTTAGCAGCTTTGGAGATGAGTCGTCCCTGAGGATTGTGCTTTGGCTTCTATACAAATACAAAGTACTTCTCATGGCTAAGGCCATCATCTATCACAAAGTTGGAGATTTTAGAAGCCAGGATAATTATCAATTTATTCATAGCAAAAAAAGCTGACATTTCCAGCATAGATGTCATGATGCTGAGCGTCGCAGAAGAAATGTAGCCAGGCTGTTTGCCAAGTCCCGTAGCTCTATTCTATAGCTGTTTTCCAAAGGTTATGGTACAAATGCCTTCAACTCTTGCACAGTTGCCACAATTTTCATCTGATTGAACTGCTATGGACAGCTAACAAAGGAATATGTTTGAATGAGACTCCAATTAAATACTCTTATTTTGACATACTTGCTTTCTTTAATAACTACTGCTAAGCATTTATTTTTTCTGGGTCAGAATGAAAATAAAGACACAGTCCAGAAAAGCTAAACAAAGCTGTTTCAGCAGCCCACTCTGTGGAATATTATGCAGTTGAGTATCTGTTTCAAAGAGGAGCCACAATTATTTCTTGCATAAATATTTAGATAGTTGCATGTGCTGAGAAACAAAGACTGATCTAGATGTAAAACTGCGGGATGTCCCTCTAGAATATCGCATTCCACATGGTTTAGTTTTTGTATATATCACAGCAGTTGTAAAACAGTACACAGTTTGTTCCATTAAAGGGCTTATAACATTAGCCTGAACTTCACCCTTTCTGTTGGCACCTAATTTCCCCGATGCTTCATGGGAAAAATCTCTCAAATTACTTTTGGGTTTCCTTTTAGAAATCTTCTGTCCAGATGTTGTCTGTCTACCTCTGCATCCTTGAATCGTTATTTTTAGTACACTAAAATTCTATCAGAACAATGTCTTTGCATTCATTATCTAGGATGAACAATGTGTATGAATATCAAGAAGCAAATGTATGTTTCTGTTTTTGCATACCTTTTTCTAATGATTTCTTTTTAATTACAGAGCAAAGAGATTGCGTTTCAGCTTCATGAAGACTTAATGAAAGTTCTTAACGAGCTTTACACAGTAAGTACAGTTACTTAGCTTATCTTGTACAAATTCCATGTCATACTTCTTCTATAAGCTTTAAGTGTCCTTTTTTCTAGCAAGTTACCTCTCAGTGGAGATGCTTACTTTTGTCTTTTTACACAAGTCTAATCTATCTCTTTTGGAAAGACTACTCACTTGTTTACAATACATATGCTAATGCTTTCAGGATTACTCTTTACTTTCAACCCTTTTCCTCCCCAGACTATGCTAAGCCCGTTTATTATAAGTTTTGTTGATTATTAATGAGGCATTTCTACTCAGCTTACCAGAGCAAAGCTTCTTACTTTTCTGCCTTGTTTTTGTCCATACTTGGACTCATGGTCTACACTTAGTAAATGTTGCTATGTGCCCTCTCCTCTCTCTGACTGAGATAAGTAAATAATGAAATGAAAACCAGAAAAATAGAGGGTTGTGTAGGGTGTCCATACCATTCAGAGAGGCCAAGAAAAAAACAGTCTAAGCATTCTGGCAAGCTGTTGCTAACCTGTTAGAAAATTTGAGAGAAGGTAAGTCTGAACTTCTTTTCCTCTTTGAAACTCATCTACACAACTTGTTACTAGAGGATGAAGTCTTGTCTAACCAAAAAACATTTCTCAAAATACTTTTGAGGAGATATGTTCCAAGAAGAACAAAATAAGAATTACTCTTTGTTTTAAACACGGCTGTACAATGAAGAGGAACTGGTGACATCCACCTCTTACTAAAGTCTGTTGATTCCTGATCAGTGAGAAAGTTGTACATCTAAATTCTCCCTTCTGTCTGGAAGAACTGAAACATCTGTGCCCCAGTACCCTGCGTAACAGTCTATAGCCTGTTCCCTTCCCTATCCTCAAGATTTAGAGGACCAGGAGAAAACCCAACAACATCTATATCAAGAAACAATTTGTGATTTTAAGGAGGTTTAGGAAGATATCAGAGACCAGCTCTCCTCAGAGAGAGATCAGTCAAACATTACTTTTATGCATCTTGTCTGTTTTTCTTTTGACTTAGGTAAAATTGTGCACCAATCAGCAGATGGGTTGAAAAGCATTTGAACTCAAGAACAACTTAGGTGGCAAAAAGAAGATCCAAAGAAATTTAGACCTGTCTCACTGTCCTGAGTTCTTTTGGATTGTAGTTAGAGACACAGATACCTAAAACCTACCTAAATTTTTTTTTTTTGTTCCTTGAGGGCTTTTTTTCAGGGCTTTTTTTTTTCCCCTGAAATCACCACTGATTTTGTAGGGTGCCTTTAGTCAAGTAGAGTATGCTGAGATCAGCTTCTGCAAAGTAGTGATAGCGGCAGACAATTCACACAGCTGCAGGGGATCAGCGACTGTAGGAGCCATTGCACAAGTGGGGCTTCAGTGGTGAGTAAGCCCTGGAGATAGAGTCTTGTTTTAATTAAACAGTTGTGTAGCTCCAGTGCCTGATGATGTGTGGGATTAGTGCTTGTGCTCTCCGGGTAGGAAAACAGTGAAGCATGTGCTTGAAATACTTTGCTGAATCACCAGTGGGAATCTGCAGGACTGAATTTTGGTATTTTCACTCTTTTTCTTCACACTGGTGCTCTATCTTCCCACCGATGGCTACAGATTTATTCAAATATTAACTTCCATGTTATGGTTTCCAGTGAATGCTAGTTCCTTTCTCAGAATTTACAATTTTTGTAAAAAAGGAGGTTTCTTGAAGTTAATAGAATACAGAGGATGTGCACAATTTGAATTAGGATACTGCTGCAGGATGGTTTCTTGGGACAGAATTTACTTCACCTAATTTTTAGGCATCTGCAGTGTAGGTACAAGTACAAGTATCTTAGCTTGCTGTCTGGGTTCCAATTATAGTCACTGGAAATCTAATATGGGGAGATCAGACCCCTTTGATCAGCAAGCATCTGCTTCAGATGAAATGATCTACACGGCTAACTCCATTGTCCAGCTTTTCACTGGTTGCAAAGGAATTGGTCAGCTGTAGATGCCCACATCTAGCCAGATACAACTTACGCTTAGTAAAGTGACAATATGGGGCAGAGTAACATCAGTTCCACTGATTGCATCTTTAGAATTATCATCAGCATATCTGTGTAATATATGTGCTTGTGTACATAAAGATAGAAAGATATCTAGACACATGGAAACCTCATAGGTTTTCAATTCTGTGTGACATTTACTGTTTACAGAATAAGATCACAGTGGCCTTACCAAAACAAGTGTCTACAATTTTAAAATCCAGAAGGTATTTTTCTCAGTCACTTAGAAAAAGGAGAAGTCATCTTCTTTACCCTGTGATTTATGGAAAGAAAAAAAAAAAAGAGTCTTACTATTGTGGGAAAAATCTTTGTGTCCAAAAGAAAGCAAATTAATTTCAAGTCAGTGAATAATATACTAATATTGAAGTCTCTGCCCACTACTCGGTTCTAGGATTTTTAAAGGAATGGTGCATTCATGAAGTAGAACTGTTAAAATGTGAAGCCTTATTGGAGTTTAAATACCTCTGAAGCCTTTGAGTGAGGGGAAAGTATCAGAGCTTTTAACAAACTGAGGGTGTGTATGAAGAAGGGTTTAATAATCTGTTTATGTCTTATCATCATTCCTTACCTTACAAGAAAGGTTTGTAAATTAAGGTCACCCTCCAGAAATAAAAACCAAATGGTTGTGCATAAAAGTGTGTGGAAGAGAATGATAGAAGAGAATTAAAATCACTAAAAGCTAAAATAATAAGAAGTATATGTAAACCAATTGCATGTTTTATTTGTTACTTCTTGAATTTCTCAGGTGAGGAGTGGGTTTCTTAGGCAGATGTATTCAGGCACACACAGTAGTTCTGCAGCTCCGCAGTAATTCTTTCAAGCAAACACATTCGCTCCCCTGACAAGGTTTAAGGCATTACTTGTCTGGATTTCCCTAATGCTATGGGGTCAGGGGCTGGATTAAATGCTTGTTTCAAACCCACATGATGAGAGGCTCTACCCACCTATCTTTAGCATGCCAGCCAGACCTGAGGCTTCACCACACCTGCTTTCGGACTTCTCAAGCAGTTTGTCTAGAGTGATCCAGGATAAATGGGACGTTTAAAGGAATTGCTACTGGTTTGGTCCAAATATGTTTAATGGATGAGTTCTAGCACAGCCTACCAAGTATCAGAATAGCAACTGACGTTTCTTCAGGTGACAACGCTATATCAGGTGTCCTAATCTTCTGTATCATAGAAGGTGCCAGAAAAAAGGTGACTTTGGGACCCATCTCTGAAAATCTAGTCCTGCAATTCTGCCTCAGAAAATGCTTTTCAATCTCTTCATAGAGCCAAATCTAAAACCTACTGTAGTTAGGGAGTTGTGTCCATTGGTTTTGTCGGGTTTTAGATCAAACAGGACAATAAGCTGTGCTGTAGATTTTGCAAAGAGGAAGTTGTTTCAAGAGAAGAAAATAAGAAATCACTGAGGAATTGAAGAGACATGCCACTTTCCACTAAGAGTGCATTATGAAGATTTTCAGTTAAAAAAACTTTCTGCTCAAAGATATTTTTTAACTTGTGAAAGTTTGAACCTCTGCCTTTTGAGAGAGAGACTAGAAAGCATTTTGGCTGCTTCTTTAATGTGGAAAAGCTCAGAACTGCAGTGAAATGTCAAAAAAAAATCAGACACTTTGGAGTATTAAATACCTACTGTTCTTTAAAAATGCACACTAATAAGAGACCTTTGTTCTAGCTTATGCTTTATGTAATTAATTCCTTTTCCCGTTTTCCTTACTAGGAATTATCATGGAAATAGGAGATTTGTACCATAGGTCTTCCTTTACTCTCTGGGAGTAGCTTAGCTTGTGTTGACTTTGACTTGTGCCATTCTCATTAAAATTACACCTCATGTACGGGATTGTTGAAAAAATAAGAACAGAAGCAGGTGAACCGAGGCTTCAGAAGATGTTCTAAGAACCTGTGAGCAAAGCAGGCTTATTTTGCTTGAATAATCAGAATTTTTTAAGGGAAACTTTACATCTTCATTTTTCATCTCTTTTACATAGAGAAGATTGTCTTACATGTTTTGTTACATGTTTGTGTATTTTCTACATGTTACTCATGTGACTAATGAAAATGTGTTTTAAGACTATGTTTTCAATTCTTAGTATTTTATGCGCTGGTTCTTAAATTATGACTCAAAACATCATGCTATAAACAACTGAATAGCTAAGCTTCAGTTTGTATCTTTGCAAGTTCAGTAAATTATGAGTGGCGAGTACTTTTAATTATTCATGGCTTCTCCCTGGCTGTGCCAGCCAGTCAGTATTTTCAGGTTTGCAGCATCGCAGCCGCTGCATTGCTCTCTTACTCTTCTCCCTATTACGCTTTCAGCCAATGTAGACTAGTAATTAGTCCCGTGTTTTACATTAGGATATAAGCTGTTGAAACTAGAGCAAGGCGTACTTTTTGAGTGAGTGGGGATGGGAAGGAGGAGTTCAGTTAGTTGTTAGGGGTCACAGAGCAGAGGTTATTTCCTGACAATTACAGGGAAAAAAATCAGTCCAACTGAAAACTGCAGGAGGTTTGCGTTGATGTTTTTTGTGGACTGAAAGATTTAGAGCCCTACTTAGATGTTGATTTAAAGAGACAACAGATTATTGATTTTACAGTAGATCATCTTTGCAACAGAGCGAGCTCCTCATTCAAACTCTTCTCTGTTTCACTGGAAAGCTAAAATATCTTATATTGTTGGATCAAATACCGGAATATGACAGTAACATCTGAGTGATTGGGAATGGCAGGAGAGAGAAGGTAGGCAGAGTCTTTCTTGCAATGCAGGGAGGTCTCAACTGGATTTATTTAGGGGTGAGGGCATATTCATAAATGCCCTCTAAAGGAGTCAGATGGGGATCAATGAGGTGACAAGTTTACTAAAAATACAGAGCTGTTCTGGTAATAAAGAGGAGTGTGAATGGTGGAGAAAAGTGATGCACATCATAAAAATACATCTTCATGTCTCCCACTTGGCTTTCCAAATTATT